GAGAACCTGCATCTTTGTACTCAGAAAATCCAAGTTTGAGAAATGATCATTTCCTTGCAGGCTTCAGAGCTTTGGAATCCAGTTGGTGCATTTGTCTCAGGCAGCGGTGTGGTAGACACTGGCAGCTGCCTTTCCTTGCTCACTGACAGGGCTCCAATTGTACTCAGGGATGCACACACCCTTTTAAGAACAAGTATCTCTCCGAACCCCTTCAATCTGGAATGTTCACAGTCCAGGTCTGGTCAGCGAGAGATAAGTGGAAGTTTCCTGTGTGAGGCGCTTCCAGGAAAGCTATTGTTTTCTTAACAAAACAGATGAGTGCAATTGGCACATGTGTTCTGTCCTTTACACTTCCGCTTCTTCCTGCCTGGAAATGTGGACCTCACGGGGGCGGGGCAGCACCCAGCGGTGGAGGAAGACAGTCAGGTACAAGAGAGACAGATGAAGAAGCTGAAGGGGAGTGTGAGGCCTCTTTCTTAGACAGCTGCTAAGAAAGCTCTTTCTCCAGCTGGGTCATAAGACTCCAGTCACCGGAGAAAAACTAAAGCCCCACTCAGTGAAGCCCTTGGGTCAGTCATTTGGGGCTCCGTGTAATCCTAACCCACACAAGTAGGAAAGACAGGAGGCTATGGAAATTGTAGGCTTCGAGAAAAGCTTAGCATACCTTGAAGACAGTAGGAAGCAAATGTGCCATGTCACAAATACCATTAGGCTTTGGAGTGTCCAGATTTTGTCAGACATTATTTTCCTCTTCCCCTTCCCCTTCCTTTCCTCTTTCCTCCTTCTTTCCAAAATTTGCTAAGCAGCTCCTGTGCTGTGCACACCATAGCCACACAGCCAGCCTTTCCGCACTCAGATGATTACATATTCCTTATCGTCCTAGATAGCCTTATGTCAACTTGACATAAGCTAGAGTCATCTGAAAGGAGGGAGCCTCAGTTAAGAAAATGCCTTCTTGAGATCAGGCTGTAGGCGAGCCTGTAGGGCATTTTCCTAATTAGAGATTGATGGGAGAGGGCTCAGCCCACTGTGGGTGGGGCCACCCTCGGGTTAGTGGTCCTGGGTTCTGCAAGAAAGCAGACTGAGAAAGCCAGGTGGAGCAATCCAGGAAGCAGCACCCCCTCCATGGCCTCTGCATCAGCTCCTGCCTCCAGGTTCCTGCCCTGTTTGATTTCTTGTCCTGATGTCCTTCAATAATGGACAGTGATATGGAAGTGGAAGCTAAATAGACCCTTTCCTCCCCAAGTTGCTTTGGTCATGGTGTTTCATTGAAGCAATAGTAATACTAAGACCCTTATGTACTTATGAAATCAGGTCAACGAAAGGAAGTGTGGAGGCCAGGAGAACATGTGGAGAGTGAGAACATGAACACTGCTGACAGAGTAGGCCTGGTCTTGTGAGGTGGTTTTATTTTTGGACCTGAGGTTTGATCTGACTCTAGATGGATGCACAGGAGTTTATTTGGCAAAGACAGTGGATTGAGTGAGAGGCAGAAACAGCCAGTGTGGGGGCCTCAAGGCTGTAGAGCACTGCACTTTTAAGGAACCGAAAGTGCTCCCTGTGACTGAAACATAGAGAGCAAAGAAGCAGCAGAGCTGGTCTGGCCAGGCAAGCGGGCTTGGTTTGTATTAACTCTTTGTGCCTGTATCCTGAAAACAATGGAGAGAACCTCAAGAGTCTAAACCTCTAGGGGTGAATATTTGAGTCAAAGAACCCGATTGCCATTCTAACCATACAGTCTACATCATTGAAGGATCTGTAAGTGACGGATGGAAACACACTTAGAATCATCTCGTGGTGAAGCAAGAGTAACACAAGTTGGATGGGTAGAGGGATGGGCTTCCAAGAGGAAAGAATGACGTAGACAAATTGTTCTGAAGGCTGAGAAGGCGAGTTATGTGAGGGGACTTCAGGATTTTGAGTTTATGCAAACGGGCCTAAGGAGGGCAGTGATGAAAGGTGAGCATGGTCCAGTTGAGGAGGGTTGCCCCGAGGAATGGGCAAAGGCAGGGAAGGGGTGAGCTGACCCCAGAGAAGACCCCTCAGGCTTCACTAGTGGGGTGCGCAGGACAGGGCAGATGCTGCAGGTAGGAGACCAGGCAGGAGGCTGTGGTGGTTTGTTGGAGATTGGTTGAACATGGTGACTGGAGCCTCTCAGCTAATCAGCGTTAAGTGAAAAGGAGGCGCATTCAGCCTCATGGTATGCGACCCTCAAGTCCATTTGGCCCACATCATGTACAGCATTCAAGCTGCCTCCGTGCCTCTCTATTCCTGGAGACCCACACACAGTTTTTTGCTTTTGTTTCTCCCGGCACACCAGCTCACTCCATGAGGCCCTTGGTTTCTGCTTGCCATTCACCAAGGCTGCCATGTGTGGTAGGTAGTTTGAATGAGAACAGCCCTCACAGGCTCATATGTTTGAATACTTGTCCCCAGTTGGTGGAACTGTTTGGGAAGGATTAGGGGGTGTGGCCTTGCTGGAGGAAGTGTGTCCCTGGGGGTGGACTTGTGCCATTCCTGGACTCTGCCTTCTATTTGTGGATCAAGATGTGAGCTCTCAGCTGTTCCTGCAACCATGCCTTTGCTCTCCATCATGGAACTCTAATCCTTTGAAACTAGAAGCCCAAAATTCAACTCTTTCTTTTATAAGTCACCTTGGTCATGATGTTTAATCACAGCAACAGAAAAATAACTAAGACATCACAGAACCCACTGACCTGAATACCTTGGATCTTAGAGCTCCAGATCCCACCACCATGGGCCAGTCTCTTTGTTGATCAAAACAAAAAGCCATACCACTTTTTGGTGACAAAGTGAGTCCATATTAATTTTCTAGTCATAACCAATAGAGTTACACAATAAATTGCACCCCATTTGTGTTGATGGGAAGCCCGAATGTTTTCCATTGATCCCAAAATAAGCTTAGAATCAGATACAGCAGGTCGTAAGTGCTGCTAAGCTTCAGACTGTGTAGATTTGGCCAGTGTTTGTTTAATTGTGTAGATTGGATCAGTGTTTAATTGTGTAGATTTGGCCAGTGTTTATTTAATTGTTGTCATTTTCCTACCATTTCCCTTTCCTGTCCTTCCTCCTCATCCATTTTCTTCTTCCTTCTGTTAAAAAACTGTTGAGTGGTGTGATTTCACTCATGTTATTTCTACATTTGTTCAGTAACCAGTTATTATCTGTTGCCAAAATGAGGACAAGGGCTGTGTTAATCTCATCTCTCACTGTGTCTAGTCCTGTATAATAAATTACCTCAAAATTCAGTGGCTTAAAACATCAGACGACTCCCGCCAAAAGAAGCAGATTATGCCTCGCTCAGCCATCACCAGGGAAGCTTCTTTCTGCAGCAGATGGGAACAAATATGGAACCCACAGCCAGACATACAGAGTGAGAGACCTTGTAACACTCAGTCCTAAATGGATGTTTCCATCAAATCCCTCCCCTCGGGCCTCAGGGAACTCCCTGCAGAGGAGGTAGAAAGAGTGTAAGAGCCCAAGGTCATCAAGAAAACAAGGTCCTCTAAATCAATGTGATAAAGCTCATATGAACTCTCAGAGACCAAAGCAGCATGCAATAGGACCGCCTGGTCTTCTGTGTGTATATTATGGCTTCCAGCTTAGTGTTTTTTATCAGATTCCTGAGTGTGAGAATGAGTGGGTCTCTGACTCTTGTGCCTTCTCTTGGGCTCTTTTCCTTCTGTTTTTGTTCAATTCCAGTGTTAATTTTTGTTTTATCTTATTATATTATATTGTATTTCATTTTATTTTTTTTTTTAAAAAACCTCAGACATTTAATAACCTTTGTGGGTTAGGAACTTAGAAGTTGGCCTGGGTGGCTGTGGCTTTGGGATCTGTCATGAAGCCAGTCAAGAGGTTGGCTGAGGCATCAGTCATCTGAAGGGCTTCCAAGATGGCACACTCTCATGTTGTTGGATTTTCACATGGGCATGACCACAGGCCTGTTTGAGTAGCCTTCACAATATGGTAAGTGGTTTCGTTTCCTTAGAGCAAGTGGCCCATCACCGACTCAGGAAGAAGATGGACGCCTTGCCTTTTATGACCTGTTCTCAGAAGTCAAACACGGTCCTTGCTTTATCTACTTGTTAGGAGTGAGTCATTAAGTCTGGCCAACATTGAAAGGAAGGGGAATTTAGGCTCTATTGTTTGAAGAAATGATTGTAAAATAATTTGTAGATGTTTTCAGAAACTACTACAATGGTTCTAACCTCAGGACCTGGTACAGTGCCTGGCAGCTATTGGCTGTTTAATACTAGTTTGTAAAGTAGTATTATTCTCTCTTCCAGGTTTGGACACTAGCAACGAGACAATGGGCCGAAGGCCGACAGTCACAGTAAGGAATGGACATTTGAGCTTTGGTGTCTTTCTCGTATGTCCCATCAGGAAATGGCTGGGCCAGGCACACGGGTATGAGCTGATGCTTTCTTCAGTTCTTGATGTAAGCCTGGCAGAAGAGCTCGGAGGGCCCACAGGGCCTTGAGAATCAACCCAGCTTGCGAGTTAGAATTCTCACTCCGTATTTACAATATGTATCTCTATTATTTTGAGGCACAGATAACTTACGTATCTACTTTACATATCTCTGAAGGCTTGGCATCTCTTGATCAAGCAGGTTCAGGATAGAGCTGGTGTCATGGCGCACATGCCGTAGCAGGGGAAAGGAAGAAAAGATGTTCAAGACAACCATCTCTTTTCTCCTTCTTTTTTCTTCCCTTTAATATCATCTCCTTCAGCTTTTCCTCAGCTGGTCATGGCGGTCCACATCTGTAATCTGAGAACTCGGGGGAAGAGGCAGAAGTATCAGCAGTTCAAGGTCAGCCTCAGCTACACAGGGTATTCTGGGCTACCCTAAGCTACCTGAAACCTTTTCTCAAAAACCAATCAACCTTTCCTCTTCCACTAGCCATCTGCCTTCATGCAGCTGTAAGAGCCAAGCATGGTGACATGCACCCATAGCCCTGACTACTCAGGAAGCTGAGGTGGGAGGATGACTGGAGATCGGGAGTTCGAGGTCAGCCTGGGCAACACAGTGAGACCATGCCATAGGAAGAAGGAAGTACATGACACAGTAATCCCATGTAACTTATTTTAAGTCCCCTTACCATCCTCAAAGTTTTGTAAGATTTGTCTTTCTTCCTCTTGGCCACCTGGCTTCCACTTCTTTCACTCTATTACAGCGTGCTCTTCTCAAGGCCACCAATGCCCCTGTTGCCTTACCAGAGCCATTTTTTCTTGGTCTTGGAGCATCTGAATTGTCAGCCATGACCTTGGAAACTCTCTGTTTCTGACTTGGTGCCATCACACCATCTGGCTTTCTCAAGCTACCGTAACCGGAGGTCAGAAGAGAGAGGTGGATGGGACAGTGAGGTTGGTTCCTTGACTTGTAAAAGCATCACCTGAGTCCTGCCTTCATCTTCCGGTGCTGCTCTCCCCAAGTGCATGCCTCTGTACCAATTTTCTCTTTTTATGGGGACTACAGGAAGAGTGGAGTGCCGCTTACCCAATGGCTTCATCCTCGTTGATTGACATCTGTGTTATCCCTATTTCCAAATACGTCCATGTGTGATGTTCTGAAGGGTCATCGACCAACCTTCAAGACTTAGCTTTCCCTCAGTTGTGTCCTTGGCCTCTGATGAGAAGATCCGCTGGGCGGTGGTGGCGCACGCCTTTAATCCCAGCACTCGGGAGGCAGAGGCAGGC